TGAACGCGATAATATATTCCGATTCAGTGTAGTCGGTCCAAAAAAAGAGCGAAAGTATATATCCTTTAGAAATCCATGGACGACAATATATCCCGGCTATAGAAAAGCCACGACGAGAGATAGTAAAAAAAAAACTTACTGCACGGTTCCGTCTTCCACCATTAGAGCTAACGACCATCGTAAGTCGTTATGTACGCCGATCGAACTACGCTAGAATGCACTTCGCGGAGCACATCTCATGTATAGGCAAACATTATTATGATCATAGGTGGATTCAATGTATGACGGACATATTCGAGATGGCATTCCGTGAATCGGCAAAAGGGGAATAAACACTTCAAGAAAAAAATCTTAATTTCTCCATCTAAATGCATCCGGCGTCGTGGAAACTAGATTGTCGATACGCAACGAGTTTCGTTACGGGTGGGTGAAAGATTTTGACATAATGAAGCCATTCCCGACTTAAACTCATTCGCAATCCGCGAAGCAATTCTATCGTTGTCGTACTTTCGTCGTATTCCACCGCTACTATCAGCCAAGTGACTGCGAGAGGTGTTTGAACGACAAAGTTCTTAGAATCTACTGTCTTGCTGCTGATGCTGCTGTTACTGCTCTCGGGATACGAATCGGTACAAACTTACACGACTTATCAGTATACGCCGCTATTATCTGTTCCATGTCGCTCAACTGTAACGAACTGAGTTGCAGACTCTTCAGGGAAACGACAAGTTACATTCCTTCTGAGATTTCTTCTCATTGCGTCAGTTGCACATGTTACATCTATATTGTGCTATCACTTCGTAGGGCTAGATTTATCGCTCCTATCGGAATTGTACGATTGATTGCAATTGCTGCTTTTCAATAATAAAAGAAAAAATAGAGAATCAGAAGAATTGAACTTTTTTTTAGTAATCGATTATAATTCGATTACGTTACTTAATTCAAATTTGAAAACATGAATATAATGAAAAATTTTAAAATAAAATGACAATTTAAAAATGTGATGAAAAGTGATTAAAAGTGGAATATAAAATTGAAGATTATTTTTGTTATAAAAATATGTTGGGGACGATATTGAAAAGTTCGTAAAGTAAGATGCGATAACAGTAGAAGATTATTCCGTAAGTACGTAAAGCGGGGAAAGCTGATAGCGTCAGGAAGTTGGAATATTCTACTTTGTCACGGTGCTTAAATATTCTGGACTTCACGTAAGACCAACATTGTTTTCGCAAATGATATGCTGTATAATCCCCATATGAAAGAAAGAAAAACTTTTCAAAAAACTTAAATGTACCTTAGAAAAGAAATATATTACGCTCACTGCAAGAATAAAACTTTTGAGCTTATTTTGTAACAGCTTTATTTTATCCTTTCGCGAACAGTTTATTGTACAATAAACGTGCTTACCACATTTATCACATTTATGATTTACGCAATAACAATACTAAAAAAAATCGATAAAAACGAATTGAAAGAAAAATAATAGACTATAACGACTAAAAGCGGAATGAGAGAAAAATAGACCGTAACGAATAAAGTCAAATATGAATATATATCAGACATTTTATGTCACTAGTTGTAATTAATCCATTTAATGATTTGTACATATTTACGTTAGCGGAAAATTTTTCGCGAGTTAAGCTTTAGCCTGGCTTACTTCGTGCGTTTTTGAAATTTGTGATTATCGTGAGCAATATTGCGGATCTAACTCGATTCATTAAAATTTGCCGCATCATTACGCGCAACTCTGTCAATTTAGCCAGGTCGTTTGCAATTATCGTCATAACTTATAATTGCAAATAGAAATATCATATATACACGTATAGGAATATCATATATACATGTACAAATATTTAAACTAGTGACACTGAGGAAATTAATAAATTACAAAAAACAATGTTCTCTCTACATTAAATATTTTGCGAATATCCGAGTTTAATCGTCGTATGCGGAGGAATTTTTAGTCTGCCTCACGCGTTATTTTAATGAACAACGATGCGATGTTTATTCATGTAATTACACGAAAGCTGCTTACTTTTATTCGCCGATAGCGAGCACGTGTGCGTAAAGTATATGATGTATCGATCGCGCGAAATCTACTTGTGGAAAATGCAAAAGCGTATGTTAGTCTATACACCTGAATACGTGCGTGAATATGGGATACGAGACTGTTTCCATTCCATTCGCCTTTCTATTCAAGCATGAAAACGGGACTAGCTGGCAAGTCAACATTATTTATCGATTGCGCATCAAGTAAATGAAATCGAAGTCTTGAGTGCAACAACTACATGAGCACATTTTTCTTGGTAAACAAATCAGTTGTCGCATGTTTTGAATAAACAATTCAATTCCTATCTGTAAACACAAAAATGCATATTAACATCAAATTATTAGATGCAGTGAACAAAGTAGAATGGATTAATTTTAATAAACAGAATCTGTGAAAATATTAAAAATGATTGGTTTCTGTAATGATCAAGATACGTTGAAGAGACAGAAAAACATGAGTGTTTATTTATTATTTCATTGAAATAAAAATATTTATGTAATCTTTTGAAATATGATATTTTTGTAGATATTTTTGTAAATATTTCTGTAGAGTGCTTTATCAAACAAGCTATTATAGAGAAGAGATTGTTGGCAGCGTGCGTTATAAAGGCGCACACCGCCCGCCACATTTTTGTCTCGATAAATGCAAATCGAATAACGGGAGCAGAGCCTAAAGCGGCAGTGCGAATAATAGGTATGAATACGTTCGTGAATAGAACAGGTTCTAACGGCAGAACGGTATCTGTCGAATTATTACTGAAAAGAACGAAGAGAGAATCCCACGAAGGTGCAAATGAAAAAAAGGAATATCCGATGAATTCAAGAGGCGTTTATTTTTTTTAATTATATCAAAATCTAATATCGCCAAAGACGCAAATCGTTAATTATTTTCTCGTTTTTTCGAGAAGATAATAATTCTCGCTCTCAGATGTGCACCGTTGATGGTTTATTTGATTCTTCATTTATATACCGTTAATCGTCGATGTAATTTATAAACAAAATTATATACTTTATTATTATTCTCGTAAATGGATAATGCACACCAAAATTCATTACTCTCAATTGGAGAGAACAATAATATCGTATTCGGGCTGCTGGCGAATTTGACTGCAGTTTTTGGATTTTTCATTTTGAAAAATGTCTTCACCAGTAAAACGTTCACGGTTATATATTTGTCGCTTGGAGAATAAATGTACTGTACAAACATATAACAATAAATATTTATATTTCCGCAATGTTTTTATTACATGTTGTTACTATTAAAATGTACGTATTTCACAAATAATTGTGTATTTATAGTTCGTATTGTGAAATATGAAAATATTGATAAACAACAAATAAAATATTTATAAATTATAATTATGTAAATTGACTTGTTTTCAAAGAGGAAGAAAGAAACGGAGTGATTTTTAATGACATTAAAATAATATTTTAGAGAAGTAAATTATATTTTTACAGATAATATTATTATAGTAATTTTTTCCTGCTTTTCTCTCTTTATTAATAACCTAGCTCTTTCTTAAATTTGGATTCTCGATGTAAATTCGATATAAATATTTTTCTGTGTTTTCGGAAATTATTATTATTGATGTCTTAACTCATACGATATGATATTATAAAATAAGCATGTAGTTAATAATACATCGCTGATTGAAATGTTGTTAATGAGCTTTTGAACAATTAGCGGAACAGTAAATATAATAGTAAAACGATATGGTATAAATGATTGATTTATTAAATCACAACACTGTTAGGCAAATCAAATCAAATCCATTTAACAATTTAGGTTTTTAGTTATTTCGGTAAGCCGCTTAATGCCACATTAATTTTGAAATATATGCTTGTGCATTCGCAAGGGGCCAATACATTAATTATCACCTGAAAATCAGACGGATGGTATTAACTACGTACTCTCTTTCAACGAAATTCGTAGTAAACAGCAAAGCCTGATTCCTAGTCTGCTGAGATCCAATTAATTTTTTCATTTTTATCATTTCAACGCGTACGTGTTGCAAACAGATCCTTTTGAATTTTAATCACGAAAATATATATACATATATATATTTATATATATCAGAGCGAAAAATGTTCTGCGTTCAGCGGATTTACAATTAATTATTCACAGTTCGCGAGAAATTAAGCTTATTACAGAAGAGCATGATCCGTATAAACTCGCAGAGATCTATTCGGCGTAATATGTAACGCATCATCGATTCACCATCGGCGGGAACGGAATTGACGCTCGTGATCGATCAACGTCGGATTCGCGGACGAACGACTTCGTTCGTTTACGCGGTACAAATAAAATTCCCGGAAACGTGGCAGAATGCGTTCGTACGCTTGATTGTTGGAGATATTGCGGATAAGAGTAAATAAAATGTTGCAAACTCGGAAACGTACGAGTTTGAAACGCAGTCTGCGATCCCGTAGAGAGCTCTCTACAGTATTAGATCACTGACGCACAAAAAGTGATTGTTGAATTTAGAGATTAATTACTGTTTAATGTACACATAGGTAAAATCGAATTCTCTCTCTTAACTTTTGCTTTACATTTTACATGATGTACCCCGGTAATTTACAAATTTTCCTCTGTATATAATCTGTCCTTGTATTGTTTATCCTAGTTTTTCTAGTCCTGAGTTAAGATGCAAAGATATTGTTTTCTCCATACACGCCACTCCCGAAAACTTCTCCTTCTTTCAGCTGAGATTTACTTACCGAGAAATTTATCAGTTAGAGTATGCTTAAAATAAAGTTTTCGTCTTATCTTGTCATAAATTTTACTTGATACGTAGACGGCAAAGCAACCGCGACAGCTTGCAAACTGTCAAGTAGAACTTTCCTCCGGCCCGACTTTGCAACTTACGCGTAGAGAGAACATAAATTCAGCCGGCGGTAAATTGAATTTTATAGTATTTTTATCCGAGATCGTATCTTTTCTCTCTTTACAGAGCTCGTCGACCCGTCCGCAAGTCCGTATACGCGGTGGATGCAAACTGCGATGCATCGCGCGGTAAGGGTGCATTATCAAAGGTCGAAGTCACGCATCGCTTTTCAGATGTGCATGAACGACTCGTGAGTCACGATTGGTCTTTCGAGTGCGTCATCAGACGCGCTCAAACGCTCGCAATCGTGCAGATCCTCGAAGCTCTCGACGATGAAGAAGCAGTGCTTAAAAAAACTGGTTGGCTATCAGCGAGGCAGGTTCTCGAAAACTCGCGATCGACAGGGATGAAAGGTTCGTTGCAATATTTGATCGTCGACGTCGCCCCCATCTTCTTTTTCTCCCCTTAAAACTCTTCAACCGTTGAATTTTATTGAGAGAAGAAATATTCGTTCTTAAAATAAATTTCAACCTTCCTTTTTCGGTTATTCCAAGAAAGGAAGCAGACGATATTTTTAATGGTTTCCAAGCAGAAATTATTTGTCAGCTTGTTATTGTAATTTCTTTCGTAGAAATTTTACTACAATATAAGCGATAGTATATTTATGATAATAAACAACTTGCTAAAATAAATAAATATAACATTGCATTAAAAATTTATATATACAATAATTAGATAAATATTAGGTGTTTTTATAGGTAAGTAATTATAAAATGAATAAATATCATGTCTTATTTGAAAGGTCACTCAGAAACGTACAAAGTACGCGTGCCTCGAACGAGACACGGGTGTCTCGTCTGGAGATTCAGCACCGTCACGTGGGGAAATAAGCGGTTAACCGATGACAATGGAACACAAACAGACAATCTTGCTAGCACCATCACTGAGCAACAGCAGCTGTTGGCGAGGCGGCACATCCGAAGCTGCTTGGACAGGTCCAGGTCCTGGAGAACTGATACGAGCTACGCTAATATTGCTGCTAAGTCTTGGTATTCTGTGCGCCAATCTTCTCGTGATATGCGTTATCAATAGCAGGCGATATAGCAAGTACATACATGCTCAGGTAAGTAAATCATATTACATGTGCAAATAGATTTACACGTAACTTTTAACAATGAACTTCTAACAATGGACTTCTTGACAAGATTTCTCTTTTGTTGAATATGAATTAAAAGAATTATTCACGTTTTTTATTGTAAAATAATAATTCTAGAAATATTATATCAAAAAATAATCTCAAACTTTATAAATCTCATTAGAAAATATTTTAGAAGATTTAGCATGAATTTTTTTGAAATTTTATTTTAAAAATCGATAAAATCAAAGATTATTCAGTAAAAGTAAAGTTTCAGTTCAATTAGCTAAAAAGGATATAGTAGCAAGAAATAAACAAGTTAATATTAATATTTGTTTTGTATGTGTCTTTTCTATGTAAGAAGGATTATGGTGAGTGAAATATTAGTTATGTGAATGTATGAAGATTTTAGTCAGCGCGATAATTCAGAGCTTTGATGGAAGGGTCCACCATAGTATTTTCTCTATTTCTCTCTTCTTGCTATGTAAATTAGTTCGAAGTGGTTAACTGCACGAAATACGGGACGGTCATGTTTCTAGATTCTAAATGAGTACCGTCGAGAAACTAATGACGATGGCCGCAAAAAAATTAGACATTATTCGTGAGAATGTTCCATCTTCCGTCTACTCGATTAATTAAAGCTTCCCGGTGACCCGTGTGGTGTCGTAATATGTAAAATTGAGAATATATTTATTAGAGCTCAGTGTGTAATATGTTGTTCCATAGCATTCATCGCTTCTCTTCCTCATAAATATGTAAATCTAGCAAGTTAAATATACAGACTGGTTACTTTTCGCTGTATTGTATATTCGCAACATTTATTCCGTTGCATCTGAACAATTTTTAAGGAACGTCTGTTCAAACAATTTATCGAATCCATCTTTGGAAACCTACTTAATCTTCCAGACTTTCGGTCGCCAATTTTTTAGTAGTTTTTTCTTCCTAAATACAAGCTTCGCTCAAATGGAGTTTTCGTTAAATCAATCGACCCTTCAATCGATATTTCTTCTTACTACATGCTTCGTAATGGAGCTCACATGTCTGACATGTGACATTACTGATAGCAATTCAACCGTTTAGTATAACGATGTCCACTGACAGTGACCAAGACGATCAACAGGTTCTCTTCAATTTTCTTTCAGCCCAGATATCTGCTGACGAGTTTAGCGAGTAACGACTTAGCGATTGGTCTTTTAGTGACGCCTTTCGGTTTCTTACCAGCTGTTTACGGATGCTGGCCATATGGAGAAGTTGTCTGTCAAATTCAGGTAACTATTACAATATATTAGAGCAATATTTTGTAATTCAAAATTTATGTTCGTTTATTATCGTACGAGTATATCATTTTGCTATATACAATCAATTAAACCAATCGACGTTTGTTATTATACTTGACTTTAATCACGAAAAATTAATAGAAAATAAATATCGAATAAACATAAAATAGATAATGTATCGATTATGTAGTGACGCGTCATTTTTTTATATCTTGCGCCGTAATAAATGTTCGACTATATATAATGTTGGAGATTACGATATCTCTTATGACGTTACGCATTAAAAAATCGTTCAATAACCTCGCGTATCTCGGCAGCTTTTCTTTACCAGAAATCGAGGAATTTATAGGAAATCTTGGAATGGTGTTCGCGATGCTTGGCAGGAAATTATTATCGTTTGAAACTCACGGCTGCGCTTCCGGCAGCCGGCACTTCTTCCGCTATTTCCTCCACCAGTCGGTGGCTGCGACGTTATCGGAGTTCCTGGCGATAATCTTTACGCGTTGCACCTTTCCCTCCTACCCCTTCCTCGTTCTCTACGCCATCTTCTGAGGTAACAGCCTGATTTGTGACCGTATATTTCTTCATTTCGCACGTGCTAAACTCCAAAGTGCGCTATTCCGCCGGTAGATCTCCGAATTTCGTCGTATTTGCTTATCTAGCCGAAATAGGAAATTGTCGTAATGTTCTTGGGAGGGAAATTAGTAAACATAAAATTATATGCAAATTTACCATATGTACATAATTTATAGCCGATGCTTATCACGCATTTCAATGCTTGTGAAATAATATGTTAGAATAAAATTTATTTTTTTTAATAGTAGATGAAAACATATTTTGTAAAATAATCATTATGTCTATTAATTATCTGAAATAATCTATCTGTTAATTGATATTTGAAATATAATAATGACATTATTAATTAACTTTGAGATACTTCTATGAAGAACACGTTATAATCCTTCTGAAGAAATGTTGAGGTAATAACACAAGTTTTAGTAATTTAGTAACAAAATTTAGAATGTAATGAGAAAATTATAACAGAAATTTCCGCATTAAGTAGATATAGTATAGTCCATCCAATCTATTATAATTTCGTTTACATTACTAATTTCTTGAAAAATTGATTACGTAATTTACGTAAATTAACGCAGATTACATATCTAATAAACATGAAATAAATATTTATTAATTCATTTGTGTTGAGATATTTTATTTTATAGAAAAGGTAAACTAAAGAAACAACATATTTATAATATATAGCACTCTCTCTAGTTGAAACATAAAAATATATCATCGTTACTTAATATGATGGATAGTGATGTCACTTTAATCTAAATATCATAAGTTACAGCCATATCTATAACAATAAATCATTTTTATCACATTTTTGCCAATAAAAATCTAACTATATATAATAGGAATATATCATATTATATCGGAATACATTTTTCTTATCTAAAATGTTGATGTTTTCCGATGTTTCGGGTTTGCATCTAGAGACATGCATAATGTGCATGCTATCAAGATTCTTACGCTACGTCGCTTTCGTTAGTTGTTACTTTGTAACTGTATATAAATTTAGTGTTAGATATAGTGTAAAATACAGTTATCAACTCAAGAAGAGTAAAGAAATGAGGCAATCTTTATGCAAATTGCGATCATAAAGTTAAGTGGAACAAGTCGATCAAGCATTTTGAAATAAGTAAAATATAATTTGTTACAAGTAATTATTTTAAAAAATCCTTTTTTGAAAAATATTTCAAATTTTAAAAATTATAATGGAGCAATAATGTGTATGTATAAAATATTAAAAAATAAAATCGAGGAAAACTCATTTTTTAATCAAAATTCACATACATTATACAATTTGTGAAATTTCTCAAAATAAAAAGAATTCTTTAAAACTAAGAAAATTTATATTCAAGATGTATTTTAATAATAAATAGCTTCACTTCTCGCAATTATTTTAAAAAGGGGCATTATGTGCGCGTGAGAAACAATAAAATGGTAAGTAGCTAAAAAAAAATAAAAAATAACGGTATGATAGTACGTAGAAACTAAGTAAAGAGAATTAATAAACGCCGAGAAAGCAACTTTCGCTACGTAGTTGAAAATAGGTCGCAAATTCGGTGGAAATATGATACAATTAATAAGATCAAGCCGAGAGGAAGCAGATGGCAGAAAATTAATAAACAGACGCGGGACGCAGGTGTTGGCTAATTAGAAAAAATTCTTGATAATTAGAAAAGCAAAGATTAAGTAGTTATAATATTACGTAAAGAATATATATATATATATGCTTGCAACATGTACCTTAATCATCATAAAAACAATTTTCAATTTTTTAAAATATATTACAAATTATTTGATATTGATATGTATATTTATTCTACAAAATATTTCGATACTGAGATATTTTTAAATTTCACGTACACCACGTATGACGGAAATATGTAACAGCTGCATAGAGATGCAACTCAAATTCGATTTCTTGCGGATAATCCTATAAAACTTTACGAGAACTATCAACTCGAAATGCTAAGTTGGGATCTTAGCATTTGCACAACAGGAATTTCATAACACCGTAACGATGATATTCCTACGTACGAATACTCTTGTTTTAAAAACATATTGGGATGTGCATTTCTTGTTTCCAGTCTTTTGAACCGTATATCTCTCTCAAGTGGAACGGCAGACGGTTAACTCCTCTAGTTTGTAAGCCAAGTCTTGTTTCGTGCTCTCGAATCGTTCTCACGTACGATATAACATCCTATATGCACTGCTACACCTCGACCTCTGCCATTTTCTTTTATATTTAATGTACGATATAATATATCCTTAAAGTATCTTGAGAATTTTTGAAATTCTCCTGGTCTTAAAAAAGACATATTATTGTAAATGCATGATTATAGTCGCGAAATTATAATTTATTAACAATAACATAATTTATTAACAACTTGATAAACGATAATAGTACTCGATTCAAGTAAGGTAGCACCATTCACAGAGAAGCTCGTGCAAATCTATCAACTCTGCAGGAGGTAACGATAGTGCTGATGGTGTGCCACGTCAATGGCAAGCGAAAATGGGAACGTGGAAACAACTAAAGTTCTAAACGTGTAAAACTTTACGTGATCGACAAATAAAAGCGATGCAACTAACGGCATGGTTGTAGTTATGGTCTCGTATTATTTCGTTGAATTGACGCACCGGCACAAATTGCGACTCGAACTAGATCGAACTCATAAACGCAACCAAACTAATAGCTTATACATTACCTATAACGATTAATATTCAACATTAATAGTGTTTAATATTCCGTTGCGGTTACAGGTGACCTGTGATCCATTTGTTCAATTTGACGACAGACGAAAGAGCATCCGTATCTACTCATGGTTAACGTGCAATAACGTTCGAGTTATTACATGAAATATTGCATTGATATCGATGTTTAATTGCAACGGTAATGCATTTGCGACATATTATTCGACTAATGGACAGTTTAATAAATGATAATAAATACATAGGGGAACAACTTTATGTTATATTTAAATATTTTGTGGAAAACATATTATGTATATCATAATTTATTTCAAAAATCTCAATTTTTTGATTTTGTTATAAAAAGAATAAAGCGACTATTTCGATCTCTACTGAAATTTTAATCTTACAATTTGCAATACTCGTCATTAAATGGATGATTAACACAAATCGGTTTTTTTAACTTTTTATAATTATCGGAGATATAAAAGCGACTGTGTCCATTATTATTTGTTACGATTAACATTTTGAATTTTAAAATTATTAGCTATTCCATGAAATGTCCAATTCGATAAATATTTGATAGAGATATTTATAAGAGACAATATTTTTCTTCGAATTTGTCCAAAAATAATATAAGCTGTTAACGTGATGTATTTTAATTGTCAGATTTTTTTTTACTATTGTGATTCCTATTAATTATTGTACATTTGACAAGATTCGACAGTTTGTTACTGCACCTCCGATATCGTCCATAGTTACACAATTGAGAACGAGTCGATTACAGTGTCATTTCATTACAAAAAAAAAGTGTGAAAATGATATACGTGAAGCACTGTTCTAAGATAGATCGTCTCTAGCCACTCAATATTCATAGAATCTATTCTTAGCGGCAACAAATCTCCCATGTATCTTTCTCTCTCTCTCTCTCTCTCTCTTTCTCTCTCTCTCTCTCTCTCTCTCTCTCTACATGATAACCCCGGGATATAGACGGTTCCGCGACGGGTTTGTGTATTCAGATATCCGCTCGAAACCAAACCGTAAACTTCGATAAACTAACACACGTTTGTTCTTGCTCATGTCGGAATGAGATCACTGGAGACAATCGTTACACTGTTACAATGTTACAATTGTTAGTTCTGTATTCCTATGATACACATCTGAAGATACCATTACATCTCCTAAATGGTACATCTCGGACTTTTTTCGAATAAAATTGAAATGATCACTTTATATATCATTTTTAAAACATTTTTTAGTGTAAATAAAAAACGAGTATTTTATTTTAAAGATAATTATCATTGAAAATTTGATAATTATCATTGAAAAATTGCCTAAATACATGCACAGAATTTAATCTTTTTCCTTTAATATATTACCTCTAGAATGAACGATAGAATTCTGTTACAAGTTCATTCGCTAATTATAGCTTCATAAAACGAACTTTAGACTTTCTATTGGTAAATTTCCCAACGCTCGCTACCTGTATTTAGCTGCATAATGTCATTACTTGTCCGCAGAACGAACTACGATGTTATCGAAGCTACGACGTTGCTGCTGCTCGTTACTTCGTGGCAACATTTTCTTTTTTTCACGGCGTAAACTGACCTGAAAAATTTTTACCCGCCACAGTAATACAATTGCAAATTTAATATTCTACAATTCCCTCCGCATATACGCCTCAACCGTGCATTGCCATACCAATGTTCGTTTCATTTATTGGCGATGAATGTGGAAGAATATATATCGTGTTGATAGAAATGATCATGCATTTCTATGAGAGATACGGCACGTTTCACGTGCGTGATACGGCGATAATATATTTTAAATTCAGTGACATGCGTGCACATGCAAGAGGAATAAATCTCTGAGATTTACCATCTTCGAGCGAAAATTAATGCTGCCTTGTTGACATTATTTTCCTGTTAACATTGTGGAATATTTTACAATTGAACGTTCGCGTTTGCTCGACTTTTCGCGGCACCGAATTTCAACCCAAACCGGGCGTACGCCGAATGCGCGCTCGCAATCAGGTCAAGATCGTTCTAAGACAAATGCAATTTCACGAAATCACGATGTAGCGCTCGTCGTTCTTTCGCGTCTCACAAATGAAGAAATCGAACTCGTTATACAAATGCAATTATTCTGGTCGCGGCCAAATAAAAGTTAGCCGTGATGTTCCATTAAAATCCTCGCTGTAGACTACAACGACAACGATGACGACGACGACGGTGGGTTAACGGTTGCTTGAGGGCAAGATCGAGTAAGTTAGTTTGTGGTGAAAATATTCGGTTAAGGTCTCCCGGGAGTGTTTCGAGGATAGCTCGAAATGAGGCCAGATCCGATCCTGGCCTCTTCAGATTATCAGAGCTTTCTCTTGGCGGTAAGCCAACAGTCACCATGGCAACCATCTTAAACTATACTTGGTACACGCTCGCGTACCCTCGTATTACTATGTCCTTATGGATACACTGACATCACCGATTCATCGAATCACCGTCGCCTTCGGCGGTCCGCGATGTTGGGATCGTTTTCTTTCTCGTATACGTCTTTCTCTCTCTCTCTTTTCTCCTATCTCTTTCCCTCATCTCGCCAAGCTTCTATAAAATAGAACGTGTCTGGAATCACGATAGTGTACATCTTGTTACATCCTACCTATCCCGCTTCAAAGCAGCCCGATGTATCGAGCCGGACATATCGAGCTCGAAAATGACAGCTGATAGGGTTGATATAGTACATACAATAGATAGATATGAAATTATCTAATATAGAATTGATGATATATACTATATGTAAGCGGACATGCATTGTAGCGTATGAAGTTCTTTTCCTTATGAAAAAGCATGTATACACTTTTTCTTTTTCTTATTAACTTTAACAGAATCAAAAGGAAACAAGATAAATTTAAAGAACCACTTTTATACTTGTACAATTTAGAAAATAACTTTTATATACTTATCTCGATAAATATATATATATATATATATATATATATTATATATATAAATAATTTAAAAAAAATGAATTTTATTATTTCTTCTTTTGTTTAGTTTTGTTTTTAAAGAAAATGTTTATATGCAGAAAAATCTAAATTGATCAAATTTAAATTTAAAAATCTTTCATGTAGTTGTTCATTCCATATTAACAATAACTTATTGTTTTATATAGATATATAAAAAAGGTAGAATATATGTTTGAAATTTTTGTTTATAATTTGATTATAATTCAAATTATAATTCAATTATAATTTGATTGCTATTTTTTCATTTATATCACATTGCATTTTCAAAATTATTAAACAATCAAATTGTTTACAAAAGCAATGTTTCGTTAAAAGAGAAGATATATTTATGTATTTTTAAATTTCTTAGTAATATAATAGTAATATAGTATATGTTTTATAGTTGCAATTATGATTCTCCTGGTACAATCGTAAATGTCGGTTTCAATTAGGTAAATGAGTTGGCTACATGATATTAACAATTTGCTCACTTGGCTTCTCACAGCTTGTTTCCCGTAAAGTATGTACGGACAAGGAATTAGCGCCAGTACATTCGAAGACCGTGTTACGAGAAATTGACCCAGTACGCGCTTCATAATCGATACATTGTTACCTATATATTGATTTCAAGCAATTTGTGCAATATGAAGAAATAATCATTAATTCTTAACTAATCACATTTTGTCAGGAGTTTCGTATCCAATTCTTGATAAAAAGTCTTCTTTTGATATAAAAGCAATTTTCCCCTTCAATTTATTACAGAAAATATTATAATCAATTAAAATATATTTTAGTAATACAAATTTATATATTATTTATACATTCTCAAATTCTCACAAAAACGGTGGAGATGTTATTAACGTTGAGAAAATCCAGATTAAATTGAACAAGCTAACTGCATTCTGCTGTTGGTGATAATGTTTGTTATTAATTTCTGGGATCTGTTTCACGATTTCACCGCAATTAACATGCGTTAATTTAATTTTGCTTGTAGTGTCAACATGCGCGCGACTTAAAAAAAAACGACCTCATATTGTTTAATCGCAAATTAAAATTCGCAGACAGATGCAACGGCGCGGAAGCAACATTATGTCGTGATGAATGCGATTCTTTTTTATTCGGGCGCGACATTTAATTACAGTACGGGAACTCGGCACAAACTCTATACAGTTCATAAACGATTTTTCATACAATTAATTGCATGTAAAGTCTATAACGAAAAGCGTAAATGTATAATTGATAATACTATGATGTTAATTAAATTTATATCTCAGTCGATAATTAATTAGGTGATGAAATTCTATCTCTGTCCGCTCTCAAATCGGAACAGTAATAGCAAATTCCAATGGAAGCAAAATTATACCGCAAAACGTTGTGATATCGACAGAACACCGCAAGCTACCGTTCGTCATATAACCGCAAAATTCTGATTATTTTGATAAATTCATGCAGAGAAAGGAAATACATCCCTTCTTATTTTTTTTTCAACAAATTAAAAGAAATGTTTAACTGATTTATAAATCTATAAAGAGAACATAATGAGAAATGTTAACGCAGTTGGTTTTCTCGATCTTCTCTTGAAATCATCAAAACTTGTCGTCTAACAACGACTCTTTTCGTAACTCGACCTATGCACTTTTTCAGGAAGTTATAAGTTATTTTATCTGAAAAGACTGAGAGAACGACACCCAACAGAATCTCGTTTGTTCTTTCGGAAACTTTTATTGTTCCAGGCACTTCTTAGGGGCGCTTTGACTCAACAGAGTGCTGTTATCCTCGTCTGTATGGCAATCGACCGTTACGTTTGCATGTTACATCCTCATCGCTATCACAAGCATTCTTCTAAAAGGGTGAGTTTATTGTCTATATTCATTTATCAATTATCAAACTAACATAATATCTCTGTTATATATTTACCTTTCGATAATATTTATTTAGATCAAAATAAATTACAACTTTTTTCTAAAACAAATATTTATATAAGTTATTTACGTTTTAAAATATCAGTTCTTTAAACTTAATATTAATTTTTTTTTATTTTTATATATGAAAAATATTTCGTGAATGTTTAATTTATTTTTTTTATTGTGATAAAATTTTGCACGTTTAATTATTACAGATGTATATTAGAAGGAGATAATATTTTATATATATTACGTTGTAACATGTTAAAAATTCCTCAAGTAATGTCTAAATATATAATATACATAATATACAAATTTTCTCATTTGGTAAGAAATCTACGAACTATACAGTAGGACCAAATGGAATTCCTATATGATTATTTCAACTGAAACTTCGTATTAAATGACAATCGGTTTCAAACGATAACCTATTTAAAGGGAAATTTATTCTCTCGATTCATCCGATCTATCGACAGGAAAATTTGCTCTTGTTAAATACGATATCTGATAAAACAGATTGAACAATTGATTGACTGCGGACAACTGTCGTTTTACGTTAAAATAATTACAATAAAAATAATATTTATGTTTAAAGCTTATCTGAATTTTGAAACGTGAAGCTTTTGAATTTGTAAGAGAATAAAAATCACTTTTTGATTCAGTTGTAATCATTTCATTTGATGCGACTATTTATTCATAAATACAATATGAAAGTATAAACAATGTTTATTGTATGAGTTTAAAGAATAAAAATATATTTTTTATTATTTTTGTAACAACGAATTTATTCATAAGACAGAATCTGATATTATTTATCGATCATCAAGTTGAAAAAATGAAAATGTTTCTCACTATATGATACCTGAAAAAGTAACTGAAAAATCGATTCTTTGATGAATCCATGCTCGCAAAGCTCGTATATATTTTTGTTAATCCTGTATCTATTATATATTATGTAGTTATGTATATATTCTATGGTGGTACGTCAAATACAGACATACGAGCTATTCATTGATATAAAAAAAGATTGAAAGAGAATTCAACAGAAAAGAATAGAAATGCTATCAAAAATAATCTTTTAGTCTCTTTGGGCTGTAGAATATCCCACGCTACTCACTAACGAAATAAAAATAATAGATAGCAATTCCTTTCGTTTTGGCAATATAGTAAAAAATATAAAAATTATACAGATATATATCCGTTCTGTAGAAGTAAGATAAAATAAAGTAAAATTAAGAGGATTGTTATTTATATACCTTTATATATATTAGTTATTATATATTAGTTATACCATCAATCTATTCGCAAAAATATTTCCACGGAAAATTTGAAGGAATATATTAAAAGACAAAAAGAGTGAAGAGGGGAGGGAGGAAGAGAGATAGGAATTGTGCGGATATGGTTTTTACATATTTTTTCTATATTTTCTTAGAGTTTGAAAATGGAGCCCACGAAAACCAGTTATGAACGCATGCTGGGAAGTTCTTAATCTGTTAGATTAGCTCTGAAACTTAGACCTGTCGATTATCACGGATCAAGTTATAATCCAGTAATTGTGCATCACCTTCCGAACGACAACAAAGGCGATTCGATCGGTTACTTTAAAGGCAACTTTTGCAGCATGGCAACTGCAAAGTTTGCAAGCGATATCAGAAAGATCTTTTCCTGCGGGCCATAACATACTTGTGGTTTCACACTGCCGTTTGTCGAAGCTTGGATTACCCCGCGTCGGTTTACCCTGGCTTAAGCGTCAAAATGAATTTCAGAGGAGATTTAAAAGCGCATCAGAATGCAAAGTGCCATCGCGGCCTCTCATTCACCTATACCGTATCTCTCTATTTCAGCATCCATAACAATGAATCGCATAAATGAAACGAAACCTACGTGAAGACTGAGGTATATAAGATAATTTAAAATTATCATATCACTAAAAAATTTTCAATTAGTTAGAAATAAATAATTTAACTTAAAATAGAGAGAAAAATATAATAAAGAGATAGACTAAAATATTAATGCTGACTGGAAATGTTTTGATTATTAATTGTTTTAATTAATAAAGAAAACAGAAAAAAATTATTTAAATTTAAAAGCAAAAATTAAATGAAAAATAATTCTAAACCACTTGATATATGTATGATTGACAAAATTACCAACAATATCTCGAAGAATGCAATTCACATCTACATATATCGAACGTTTTAATTTTGATTTACCTTTTAATATATTGAACGTTTTTATATTTTTCTTCCCATTTCAAAAATATGTATATTTTACATTGAAAATTTTACTATAATTTTGCTGTAATTTTGCTATAATTTTATTAAGTAGTAATCTTTTTGCGTAGATATTTTTCTATTTTTTTATATATATGTTAATTGCTATTTTTTTTTTAAAGTTAACGTTGCGTTTCTCAAATATTATTCATCAAGTTTCAATTTAAAATTTATTCAGTTTATTATTAAAAATATAAATATTTATGAATATATAGATGAAGATTTATATTATTACAATAAACATATGTATACAATGTATTGTATATAAACATATTTATATTTACAAGAAAAATATGCACCTTTTATTGTAAATTATATTCATATTAACAATGTTATGCTAAATTAATTCATATTAAATAAATTATATTCATATTAACAATGTTATGCTTTCATTCGTTCTTTTTTTCACGATAAATGTATCAGACGATACAACAAAGCTATAATAGAATTTCTACTTGCATAATCATTGAAATAAAAAAAATGAATATAAAATATATAAAAATCAGAGGTAATAGCAAGAAGTCTGATGAATCGCTGAATCATGTCTTCCATTCATTCTGTAATTTTCCGCCTATCGAACGTTCGCTCATCGAATTCTAGCAGTTCTCGCACCTTTTTTATGTCTGATTGGTAGAAACTGTTGCTTCTCATCAAGTTCGAGAGATTTCATGAATTTAATATTCTCTTTTTTCCTCTTTCTTAAATTACGATAGTTTTTTAATCCTTTGCCTGATTATTTTTAATAATTTCGGAAATTAAAATTTTATTTTAAAATTTTAGTGTATTTTTTTATTCAGATTTCTCTAAAAACAACAATAAATCTTTTTCATGTAATAAAATATTTTTAATATTTTTTTTAGTTCATTCTTTAATTTTGTATTATATTTTCTTTCGCACACACACACACACACACACAAAAGAAAATTGAAAAAATTATTAAACATAAAACTAATTTTATTCCTATATTATCATTTGCATTTGTTCTATTATATTATGTTAGTTCGAAGTTCGAAGATAGAATTTCACACATGATAATTTTATCTATATTTGATTAATATTCAACCATATTTCAAAGTCAGATTTTGTCAAGCAAGACTTTGTCTTTATCTCTTTGTTATTACAATATGCAACGAATATTGACTCCTGGCATTTACACGCAAGTCAATAATATATTCGATATTTTCATAGATCCATAATTCATTGATTTACAATTCAGAATGCATCTCATAACTTTTATGCATCTCATAAAATCTAGAATGCGTCTATATTATGCACGATTCCATCATCCACGTCAATATTTTTTTAAATGTTATTATGATTATAAATATGACTTTTACGTGTAATCATGATTTACATTTCTTTTATACGATCTCTCAATATTAAATTAGTAATATAATATTAAATTATTTATATTATATATAATTTTATACATTTATTTATATATAATTCAAATAATAAACATTTTTTGGAATAAAAGTTTGTTCTTTCTTATATATTTATGCTCTCATGAATGAACTTTGTGTGTAATATTTCAACAACATTTCTTAATGTGTTTTAATATTTTTTCAATATTTTTGAATTAACTCATCTCTTTTTCTTTTTCATATCTATGACAACAAACAAAAATAAAAGATTGAACAAGCGTCGATTCTTTCTACTCAGGGAATAGTAGGGTCGAGTGTCATTCCCGCTGATCGTTCTTCGAGATTAGAACGAGTTTCATCTAATCTCGATAATACTTAACACATCGGGTTTGTGCCATAAAAATGGACCGTCGATAAAACCGCTCCATGGAGCTCTCTTTATTTGCTCTGAGAGATTTGATCAGGTGGAAAGTGAGTTCGTTAAAGATGCAATGCATCTGAAAACATAGAGGAAATCGATATTTTGAAAATCGATAACTTTCAATATTAGTAGAATTTTTTAATTCCAAGCAAATATCTTACAAAAATATCTTACAAAAATTTAACGCATATAATTTTACAAAAAGTTTCTTTTCTCCTCTTTTAAATTTTATCTCCTCTTACGTTTAATAATTAAATAAATTTAATATCTCATGAAATATGAAAATATTTAGGTTAAATATTTAATTTAAATATTTATACATCTAATTTAAGGCATATATTCAAAGAATATATTGAAGATCGAATTAAAGTTAGTAAAATACTTTACTACTTACTTATAGTATATTCCTTTACTTTATGCTTTTCTTCAATATTTAAAATAAAATACATTTTTAAACACGAGATTGTTTGCATACATTTTTTTTGATCGGCAATAAAATTACACAAATATATTCATATGTTGGCGTGTATACAATTTGCCGTATATTTGTTTATTTAATACATATAGCATTTTAGACTTTTGATCGAAACATATCCCCGATTGGGGATTTGCAATATTCACTCTGAAATTTTCGATAAAAACGGCATGCAGTAATCGTTTAAATAAACAATCCACGAGATATACTATGTCATGAAATGCGGAATGTGCGCAAACAAACTCTTGCATAGAGAGACATACAAATAGGCATATACTGGTATATACACATACACACATATACACCAATTTATAACGTGCTTGGCGTATGGGTGAAAAAGAGTGATCGTTTTCTATCTATGTTGACACAGTATTACATGCGGCAGGGTTGTGTGGCAGTGATGTCGACTACCTGGATAGCGAGTGTGGCGATCTTTGGGGTCCTCGTGCTCCCCAGAGGCGGTTACTACTTCAACGGATCTGGCCTTCTTGCCTGCGATCCCTTCTTCGCTAGGGCTTCCCTTAGGTATCGCCAGTACGAACGTTGGTGATAAGAGTGATGTTTCACGATCTTGGCTCACCGCGTTTGCTCGCCACACAGGCGATCAATTGCGGGCAATTGCAATTTAATGTTGAGAGGATTGTCACGGTTGATCGCCTTGGAGGATGCACCCGAGGCGATCGACTGTGAAAGATAGTAATATTTGTGATCCCTTTCCGTCTCTGTCTAAGTCAATATTAAATATAAAAAATCGTCCAAATTGTCGTAATAATTTTATCGCGCTGGTAGCTTAAAACATGCTCGCGCGCATCATATTGATTTAAATTATCTATTTAGAATTATATATTTATATCATTTTTATCTAAATATTGGAAAACGAATAAAAAATTTAAGATAATTTATGATAATAAATATTTAAGATAATAAATGTATTTTCGGCATAAATTAAAGAGCGAAATATAATGTTGTAAAATATATTAATTCATAACAAAAGAAAGAGAAAGAAAGAGAATTGAGTCGAAACTGTTTCTATCGTATTACGAGCCCTTTAATCGAACGCTAATAAATTTCGTGCATGTATCATCAGATTTCGCGTAGTTTATTATATCTATAAATGTGTTTTTTATTATATTTGCGCGCGTGATACTATCTTTATCGCATTGTTTCATGCATCTGCTCGCGTACGACGCGCTAATTACCACTCTTCTGAGCCGGAAAATGTTCTTTATTGTATCTCCTCTTTCAGGATCCTGGCATGTTGCTGTTTTTATTTTCCGACAACGATGGTGCTGATGTACTGCTACGGCTCGGCCTTCCACGTTAACAAACTGCGCTTGAAAAGGGTAGTCTGCGTTAACACACCGGAAGTCGTTAGCGGCGGCCATATAGAGAGGGTAAGTCAAGTTTATTCGCTTTGTGAATAAGCTGCGAATCGACGAGCAGCCCGTTTTAGCAACATTGACAAAGCAGTCACGTAAAACATAAAATAGAAACAATGGGGCTATTGATGAGCGATTGGAAACGCATGAAGATTATTACACAATCGTGCATCGTGGGATTGGTACAATACAAATTAAACATCACTTGCTATTTTTTACAGTTAAAGAGAATTAAAGAGAATTTAATACTATGCTATTTTGTTTGTCGGATGTTTTTACTTTTGCTAAATAGAAATCTCACACATATGTATAAATTAAAGTTTAATGGAATAAAATCAAATTTGGAATTAAACTCGCATTCGTATCAACGATGTCAATACAAAGTCGACTGCTAGTTGCTGAAGGAAAATATTACGATTATTTTCAGCAGGTAGTTTAAAACTTTCCGCGCAATTTGCCATTCACTTAAAATTCGCAATTCTCCAGCGAATTATGCAATGGAATTATAAAGCTTATGAGCAAGTGTACCGAGGAACTTTATGCAAGAGTTTACGGAAGATTTTGCAGCACATTCTTGCGAAAGGGCAATACCTCGCAGACTAGTTTCCAAATCTGTTAAATTTTGTTGAAACAATACACATTCCTACACATACACGGATACATGTAAATGTTCAGTTGGGAAGTATCTCGCAACAAATAAACTTGAGTTGGCAGAAAGAAAAATCAACTAATCATGCAAGTATATATATCTCTTAAAGCGAAGACGCCAAATAGCTGTTTTGGGGTCACAGAAATTTCGTTAAAGAAGATATTAAAATATCGTAGGGAAATAGTATGAAAGTGCTTTCAATGCTAAAGGGCGGAATATAGCTTGTCCGAATAAAATGTATAGATGCAATTAATGAAAATCAGATATCTTAAGCTATCCAGTAAATATTAATTATTTAATACAATGAGCTACATATCTCGTATTTCTATACAAGATATTAATTATATGCTCGACACATTTTCAGCGGCAGATATTATTATTATCTGCAAATATGTACATGTATATAGAGGGTATATTATATATATATATATATATATATATATATATATATTTTTTTTTTATTTATTTATTTTATATATACCTCATAAAAAAGAAAAACAATATAAGCATTATTAATACGTATCATTTTACACATATATCTAGACATACATGAGAAAATTTTTATCTATAAAAAGAAAGCTTTTATATAAAATTTAAAGTATCACAGCTACATCTACAAAATAATCTTATCATTTAATATGTACCGTTCGTCTACAGAGCTATTGGAATATCTAACAAATACATTGCATCCCGTAAAGTACTATTTTATCTTTTAAATTCGATTTTTCGTATTGCAATAATATATATAATAATCTTTTAGATTCATACTTTATCTAATCTTATGCCTCATCGAAAGACTTGAATAAGCGAATAGATGTAATGGATCTATAGTGTACTGTTAGTCATTGGAAAAATGATCGTAAATATCTGCAGTAATCATAGAAAGCGCAACTTCCGTCGATAAAACCCGCATCGATGCGTCCTTGAACCGATATCTTAGACATTACCAGGAGGACAAACGTCCGAAGCAAGATGGATGGTCTGAACACGACTAAGCCGGCATCGCTTGAATTCGCTATCGCTCGATGTCGTCTACGATGCATTGAATTCATCCACGATAACGAGCTTCTGAGGTTGTCCTCGTTGGCCTAAAGCTGTGCGTCAGACATTGAGCGATCGCGACGGCAACATTGACCCCGATTGTCGATCCGCCAATCCCGGAAAATAGTTGCGAAAGCTAGACATTATATATTGAATACAAACATGAACGTTGGCTCGAGATACTTCGATAATAAATGGAATTCAGAGAATCGTCGTGTTTAAAAGTGCTTGATAAAAGCTCGCAAATATCGAGAATAATTGCCCTGCGGTAAACATCGCGAAGTTATAACGATCGGATTATTTGCATATTTATTTATTCAAATTTGCATTTAATGTAGCTATTGCAGGGTGAATTCAATGCCTATAAAGGTTATAAAAGTTTGAAGGTCGTAGCAACAAACTCTTTTCATACTTTCTACTTTCAATTTCAATTTCGTATAAATAAGAGAAGGTACTTTAAAGGATATTCTTCTGCCAGAGTTATAGCTTGAAATTTAAAGGAAATCGTCGTATAAGATGATATTTCTCTTTGAGTTCTTTATTAAATAGTTTCGTTATAGTTGCTTTCAATTTATAGAAAAACAACGCATATGCAAGCAAAATAATATTATTAATAAAAGAAGAGAAAACAACGCGCTTTTTTTCTCTTAAAATATTCGCAAATAAGTAGTAATGTCTATTTGTAAAAATATATCGAGAAATAGAAGGAAAATTATAGACTTCGTTACGCTTTTCTCTCGAGACATGAAAAAGAATCCTTATATGACCTGATTTAAGTAACCCTATTTTAAAAGCTTCCTCCGCTTAATTCCGCTCTAAAAACGAACCTTACGCCTTGAAAATTTTGGCAAACTACTCCAGCATGAGAGCCGACAAGCTTTTGGCTTCTTCTATTTCAACCCCCGCCACCGTGATCCAACCACTACTAACGTTCTCCTTCAGGATGTGCGCCCCAGTTTTCGCGGCAAACAATATTTTTCTTCTTGCGCCCCCGCGTCGCCTCACGTTCCCCATTTCAGGAAATCGCATTTATCTTGACATTAGCCACAGCCATCCTGCGACGAGGCCAGAGAGTTCCGACCTTGTTCCCACTAGGTGTACTTGCTTATTTCATCTTTTTTTAATATTATGTTCTGTCACTCGTATTTGTAGTGTATTAAGTGGTCTTACTTCATGTGACATCGACAAGGAGCACGAAGGAAGGATTAAAAAAGTTGTTATGTATCGGGATTATCTTCTCTAATGTATCTTTTATATAAAAACACAGAATAGAATTTTATTATTAAAACTTTGCAAGAATAATGTTTCATATAAGTATAATAAGTGAATATTTATATTTCGTTAATAAATTTATGTTTTTATACATGCATACTCGTCATATACACCTTCACAAAGTCCCTTCAAATCCAAAAAAAAAGAAATAAAAGTAAATATTCTTCAAAAGTTCCACTAAGTAAGATGATTCTCTAGTCTCGTGACTATAAAAATCCTTCGGAACTTCTACTCAACTAACTTCGAATCCAATAATCCTATTTCTATCTGTCTAAATTCTAGTTTCAACGCCGTAAATCGCCTCACCAATTCTCTAGAGCTCTGCCATGAAGTCGAACGCTTAAGATCTGAGTAAATCAAGAAAATTAAAGGCGCGTCGATTAAGTCAATCAGAACCTGGTAGAAATACTTCAAAAGAAACTTGTGCCGTTTCTTCCTGACAAACGGTGCGTTCAATGGTAAATTTTTCTTTCAAGAATCAATTTGATTTGTGCATTATTAAACTGAATATAACTATTAATACACTTTAAAGATTTCGAGTTTTATAGAAATGCATAATCAACAATTTATTTTTCTCTTCAATTAAATTTTATATGTATCATTATTATTATATTATTATATTATTATATTAATAATTCTATGCGAATGTTAAAACGTCGCGACAAATGGTAGTTTCCTGAAAATCTCTTTTATGAAAAAGCGATTTTAAATTTATCAAACAAGCTATGAAGTTAAAATGAAAAGCGGCGGCCGTGCTGAGTCATCCTATAAACGTCATATTCGCGCAATTTATGTCATCTCTTTAGAAATTTTAACACTTTAACGCGAGTTAAAAAAAAATCCGATATTCGAAATTATTACTTCGTCTAATCTATTATGCTCGAAGCGCTGAAATATCACCTTCAAATATCATGAATATTCGCAACGGCTTAACCATTATAAATCATCTCATTAACTCACTTTAAATGACAGTCTCCATAATGATTGCGTCGCTCGCTATTTCTGCTATGCCATCGCCAAGAAATTTTTATCGTGCATCTCTCTCTCCTAAGTAATTCCTCTCGCTCGCGCGAAATAATGGCGCATTAGCACGCCGATAAATTCCTAGCCTGTGACACGTCATAATTAGTTAGAAACGGTAGGATTCGAGCAAAAATTGCCAAAGGCAAAAGTATCCAAAAAGGAAAATCACGAGAAGGAAAGATCGCAGCGTGTGTTTCATTCGCTCCGATTCTTCGCGAGCGCATTAAAACGCGTGTCCGTTTCCGCACTCCATTGCAAAACGGTCCTTAATCGGTCGAGAGTCCGCGGATCGTTAAGCTCTTCTTCGCCGGATCGTATTTTCCGGGTAGGCAGAATCTCGAGACAAAATGGGTTAAGTGCACGCGAAGACAGAACGAATTATAGAAGGGCGGGGGTGAGAGAAATCTCCAACGACAGACGTCTCGAACAGTCGGGAAATCTTTTCTCGGCTCTTCGTGCTTTATATCATGGTTAATATCCGTTGATTTTAACGAGTTTTCATAATAATGAATATCCGTTGATCGAATGAGTTTTGATAATAATAAATCAGTCCCATCTTAATTACTTGAATGCTCTAATAATGTTTACAAGATACGACAAATATGTTTATGCCTTTCGAACAAATTATTATGAACTATTTTTAACTTTAAAAACTCTTAGATAATATGATTTATTCGACTTTGGGCGACATGAAAACATCATGTCTATTGTATCTCACTGCACGTGCTGAAAATTTATATTATAAAAGTGGAAAGAAGTTTAAAGGATAAAGAGAAATTACACCAGACACATCTTTCACACGACGCATATTGTACATCAAACAGCGCAAACATACTGCTTTTCCTTTTTTCATAATATTTTTAGGTTTGTTGACACACACATCGCTTACAATAACGTTAGAAAAAATCTGCCGCTTCAAAAATAGCAAAATTAACAACAATGTTTTATATTCAAATTGAGTGGTCTACTGACTTCAATTAGAGCTTCGCTCAATTAATCTCTTCTATGTGCTATTTAAACGAGAAATACG